CGAATAGAGAGTTGTTACCTCGGTTTAATGTTTAGTAAGTATTTCAAGTTATGTCGTAATAAACATTTAGATGAACATTTATATGTATTTAATAGCTGTTTTGCATGTTCATACATTTAGACACATCCAATAACAACACCGCCATGTCCTGTATTCCTGAGAACCTCTTAGCTCCCCACGCCTTTTGAACTTTGCTTGCCTCATATGTTAACGTTACATCTTCTATGTTCTTAACGTCTTCCTCTTATATTGTGTCGCCTTCGCTGCTTTCTGAACGCCTTGGCGGTGTTTACTACCATTATTTCTCTCTTCACGCTTGCCTGTATCTCGTTGCCCTCACTGCTTTCTGAACGCCTTGGTGGTGTTTACTACCATTATTTCTCTCTGTACGTTTGACTGTATCTCGTTGCCTTCACTGCTTTCTGAACGTCTTGGTGGTGTTTACTACCATTATTTCTCTCTTCACGCTTGCCTGTATCTCGTTGCCCTCACTGCTTTCTGAACGCCTTGGTGGTGTTTACTACCATTATTTCTCTCTGTACGTTTGACTGTATCTCGTTGCCTTCACTGCTTTCTGAACGTCTTGGTGGTGTTTGCTACCATTATTTCTCTCTGTACGTTTGACTGTATCTCGTTGCCTTCACTGCTTTCTGAACGTCTTGGTGGTGTTTTATCGCTATTATTTCTCTCTGTACGCTTGACTGTATATCGTTGCCTTCACTGCTTTCTGAACGTCTTGGTGGTGTTTTATCGCTATTATTTCTCTCTGTACGCTTAACTGTATATCGTTGCCTTCACTGCTTTCTGAACGCCTTGGTGGTGTTTTATCGCTATTATTTCTCTCTGTACGCTTAACTGTATATCGTTGCCTTCACTGCTTTCTGAACGCCTTGGTGGTGTTTTATCGCTATTATTTCTCTCTGTACGCTTGACTGTATATCGTTGCCTTCACTGCTTTCTGAACGCCTTGGTGGTGTTTGCTACCATTATTTCTCTCTGTACGCTTAGCTGTATATCGTTGCCTTCACTGCTTTCTGAACGCCTTGGTGGTGTTTTATCGCTATTATTTCCCTCTGTACGCCTAACTGTATATCGTTGCCTTCACTGCTTTCTGAACGCCTTGGTGGTGTTTTATCGCTATTATTTCCCTCTGTACGCTTAACTGTATATCGTTGCCTTCACTGCTTTCTGAACGCCTTGGTGGTGTTTTATCGCTATTATTTCCCTCTGTACGCTTAACTGTATATCGTTGCCTTCACTGCTTTCTGAACGCCTTGGTGGTGTTTTATCGCTATTATTTCCCTCTGTACGCTTAACTGTATATCGTTGCCTTCACTGCTTTCTGAACGCCTTGGTGGTGTTTTATCGCTATTATTTCCCTCTGTACGCTTAACTGTATATCGTTGCCTTCACTGCTTTCTGAACGCCTTGGTGGTGTTTTATCGCTATTATTTCCCTCTGTACGCTTAACTGTATATCGTTGCCTTCACTGCTTTCTGAACGCCTTGATGGTGTTTTATCGCTATTATTTCCCTCTGCACGCTTAACTGTATATCGTTGCCTTCACTGCTTTCTGAACGCTTTGGTGGTGTTGACTGTATCTCGTTGCCTTCACTGCTTTCTGAACGTCTTGGTGGTGTTTTATCGCTATTATTTCTCTCTGTACGCTTGACTGTATATCGATGCCTTCACTTCTTTCTGAACGCCTTGGTGGTGTTTTATCGCCATTTATCGCTTATCTGTAGCTTGTCACTTTCACTCCCCTCGGCACACATTTCTTGTATACTGCCACCTCACCTGTCCTTTTTTGTAAGCTTTCCTTAACCTTTTTTCACACATTTTAGACTCTGGTTGAATGGCCAGTGCTTGCTGTGATTTATGACCCACCCCCTGACTCACTGACTGCAGTTTTTCCATGCACACATTCATGGTTCAGTGATTTAAGTTTACAGTATACCAATAAAGAGTGTTAGTTCTGTTATATGCTCTAAACTTTAATAAGTGTGACTGAATCATCATGAGTTACATAATTGAGTAAGCCGGTATTTAACTTGAAAGTTTTGGGTATTTAGAATATTTACGTCTCCTGTTTTGCAGTATTTTTAGTCGATACAGCAAACAAACACTTACATTCACCTCCGAGTTTATTTTTGTCACAGATATTTTATAATATTCTTCTGCAGGTTCATTTTTCATGTCAGCTTGCTTTTAATTCGATCAGTAAATTAATATGACATGTTCTATAATTGCAGTAACCATTAGCTATCTTTGAGAAAGTTCTGGCTAGTACAGATATCCCCAGGGTGAGGTGTACACATCCATATAGGGCTGTGTAATAAAAGGACAATAAAAAGACATGCTTGTGCTGCACGCGTGGGCAGTCATCGGTATAGTGCAGCGACACGTTCAAGTCCATTGACATGACTTTGTGTTACAAATGTGTTAGGTGTTGTAACACAGGGCATATTACGACCATATTGTGCGTCATAGCTATACCACATACCAAATGTGACTGTGTTTCTACTAAATTGCTATTATCACGAATTCATGTCCGCCATGCCAACGATATCACGACTATCCATTTTGTACTTCCGGTATGTAGGAGTTATCGGTGATGATGATGATAAAAATAGGAGCCGAAAATCTTCTTCAGTGTATATTGTCATATATTTTGTTCTATAATTCCATTGTTTTAGTATTTCCATAATTATGGATTCTTTTTTATAACAAGTTTCCCTTCAGACCAATTTTTGTATGTTTAATGATTGAATCGTGTTAGTGTTTTTGTTACGCTAAGAGCTATAACAGAGCAATGTTGACGAGTATTTACTTCACATGTATGTCAACCAGTTCATTCCTTTTGGCCGCGTCTGTCTTTCTGCTACCACTAGCCCTCCACCACTGGGTCGCAGGTTCGAGACCTACGTGGGGCTGTCGCCAGGACGTAGGTCGGTGGTCGCTGTTTTTTTCTCCTGGAACTTCGGCTTTTCTCCACCACCAAAACCTGGCACGTCCTTAAATGACCATAGTTGTTAATAGGACGTAAATCTCAAACAAACCAAACAAAATCTTTTTGTAGTCGGGGCATGTTATACAGTGTATCCCGGTGATTATAGTGAGGGCATGTTATACAGTGTATCCCGGTGATTATAGTGAGGGCATGTTATACAGTGTATCCCGGTGATTATAGTGAGGGTTTGTTACACAGTGTATCCCGGTGATTATAGTGAGGGCATGTTATACAGTGTATCCCGGTGATTATAGTGAGGGCAAGTTATACAGTGTATCCCGGTGATTATAGTGGGGGCATGTTATACAGTGTATCCCGGTGATGATAGTGAGGGCATGTTATACAGTGTATCCCGGCGATTGTAGTGAGGGCATGTTATACAGTGTATCCCGGTGATTATAGTGAGGGTATTTCCGGGAGAGTAGTGGAAAAGTAATGGCTTGTCTCTCATACTTTCCAGTAAAATTTATAAATGTCTACATTGATAAACCCCTGTACTTTTTTGTGCGTATATCCCATGTCACAAACAACGACTGACCTAAATTTAACTATTCATAATTATGGTAGATGTATTTTGCTTTACAAAAGTACGAGGGACATTCTTGAAAATATGTAGCGCTGTTGTAAATTAGGCTTCCCTTTGGCGTTATTAAATGTACAACATGTGTTTAACGCCTTTGTCGCCTTTCGATATTTCACTTTGTCGGGTCTTTGTATTTATTGTTCATTTACATCCGTTCGTCAATCTGTCTGCTGAATCTATTCTAACTTAAAACAAGTATGAAATAAAATTCTGTATGTTTGTATTTTGACATTTAAACATGTTACCATGATTTTCTTATCTACGTATGTCCTATACTAACCAGTCTACCTAGATACCATTATTTCCAGCGACACATTTGTTTGTATATAAGTAAGGCTCTGACACCTTACTGCGTCGATATACCTGTACAGCACACCTGTGATTGATGAGCACTGCTAGCATAATAATGGCTATTGTATGTCTTTAACTTGCTCACCAGGAGTAACGTCCAGTCGAGTGAATAGGGAATGGCCGACATTATTTACTACAGTGTATAATTATATTTACCAATATATACACGAAACAATGTAATTATATGTAGCGTTATGATTAATAATCGCACGAGAGCGTCAACTGTATACCTGGGATGGGTAATAACTTGGTATGACAAATAGGAAATACGTGTATTTACTTCGTCCGGCCTGTCTTCACAATGGACAGGCGCTATGTGAATAATGTTTGAGTATGAACTAAAAGATCACAAAAGAAATGGTATTTGCAATATAAAAAATATAAAAGTCTTTTCTGCAACAATGGATTTGTGTTATGTAGATTATTACATTCCAGGAGTTGTAATTTATAAGTCAAACTCTAAACGTTGTTTGTTTCGTGTAAAAGTATCGTCAAATACCGGGATATCTACATGTATCTGACAAAAAGACCACACGAAGTTTTCATTTGCACAATCAAAATAGCAACTGTCTCCAGGCTTATGAAACAGTGAACACTCTTGTTTCACTCTGAATTTTTCTGCATAGAATTCCATTTTTTTTCTTCTATTTAGAATAAATATTTCCTTTGTACTTTATGGAGAGTTTCGCAAACTTATCCAACAATTCTTTACAGTATGTGTATGTAACTGTTTATGAATATTTTGATAAAAGTCAGGCTTTGACACAAACGGTCTTGAATCGAGCGCCCCTTTAATGATGTTTTTTTAACAAAACATCTTGGCCTTGAACAAGGTTACTAGTGTATAATAAGCATATTGCAGTAGGTCTTTAATTTTTTTTAAGTTATTACTTTAAGGCGGGATGGGCCGATATATTCAAACACTTGTCTGTATATGGTCCTGGAGTCCGACAAATAAATCTTGAATTCTGTGTTCATAATTGTAAGCTCTTATTACTAAAAGTTCATGAATGCTTTGAAAGATTCCAACTCATGCAAGTTTGTATTTTATTTTAGAACATGATGCGTCAAGGCGGACGGTGCGGGCCATGCGGCGACCCCTGGCAGGGTCCTCGCGAAAACGAGGCTGGCGGGAAATACTCCATAGGAATGATCACGAGAAAGTACGCATCTGGTCAGACCATCAACATCACGGTCCAACTGACCAGCAACCATAAAGGCTACTTTGAATTTCGATTATGTCCAAACAACAACGGTCAATTACGTGTGACACAGCAGTGTTTTGACCAATACCTGTTGAGGATCGTGGGGCTAGGTACCAAGTACCACATAGACGCCCCCGACTCTAATGTGTTTATTGACCTCCTGCTGGAACTACCCCCGGGCGTCAGCTGTACTAACTGTGTCCTTCAGTGGAAGTGGCGCGCAGGTAAATAGTTTTCTTCTTTTCCTTCTCAGGTAGAAAGTAGTGGTGGGTGTTTAGGTGTGACAGAGTTGGTAAATACCAACCCACTCAACACTCATTGCTTTTGATGAACAACTTAAATTGTTTCATCTCATTTCTGTGTGTGTCGAACACGAGATATTTTCTATTTTAAGTTTATTCACGAATAAGGAGGCATTGAATGTTTTTTCCTGTCGTCAGGATATACAATGTAGATATGAAAATGGTACATCAGAACGACAATCGTGTTCCGACTTAACCCTTCGTGAAATATATATCAATAAGGCGCAATGCTCTGGAGCAATCTGAGACTACAGATGATTGCGTATTCACTCAGCCGTAGCACTAGAGCGCTTGTATATCACAGAAAGAAAGCTAAAAGAACACGAATTTGACTTCCATTTGTCACAGAATGTATCGAAAAATAGTTTGTCGTATCGTTTGTTTTCGTCACTCTAAAGGTGTGTATTGTATTGTCACTCTAAAGGTGTGTATTGTTGTTTCCACTTTCAGCACAAAACCGTGGTCCTGACGGCAAGGGTGGAGAATGTTTTGGTTGTGGACCGCAGGAATACTTTATCAATTGTGCAGATGTATCTATTAGCCCCTACCAGACCTCGCCCCTTCCCCTATCCCGTACCTTGTCCGGCGGGGCTGTGGTCAGGTTCAAGGCACTCAAACCGGAAGTTTCAAGCGCCATATCATACGAAGTTAAGTCCTCCAGCAAGAACACGGCGGCTCTCTACAGCGCTCCTTCGCGCCCGGCAGATCCTGCCCCAGCACCGACTCCAACACAAAACATGTTCACGCAAATTTCTCGCGAGGTCTTCCCTGCTGGATATGGAATACATAGTACCAGTATGCAGAGTATGTTTAGAAATATGTTCGACGGCGATATGGGCTATATGAATATGGCGATGAGACCTGTTCGACCACAGCCCGCACCACCTACCACACCCAAACCCCGACCCCAGGTTCACTATTCCCGGGCCTCACAGGCCTCGGCACAGTCTGCGACCGTTAAGCTACCAACCGACCCCCGCGCACTAACCGCTACCATACTGTCATACGCCAACAACGTACCGGACGGAAATGATAACGCTAACTTTGAGGTATGCCCAGACGGTTACACAAAACCCACGTGCTCTTCACTTCCGACTTGGAACAAATTGCCCGCCATAGGGAAATGGTGTCAGTCCATGTGCCCGTCCGGAGTCTGTCCTATCGCCATTTGTGGATGCACGTGCCCTATAAACGTCCTTCAGCAGTTGAATCCTAACTACTTAGATATGAACAGTAGGTGTAGAGGTATTCCGGGATGGACGGACGCTGCCATGGACTCGTGGTGCGCAACCAACTGCAACTCCGAGTTCTGTGCGTCTGAAATGTGTACATGTGAGTGAGGTGGGGATCCCCACACGGATATTTCACCATGGGAGATTCCTGTGGATGTGTACTTTCTACGCAAATACGGAAACAAAATGCCGAATGTAACGAGAACTTGTAAAAACGTCAGGCTGTCAAAAACGTGACATATATGATACAGAGATAAATCTAGATGGTAGTGACACGTTTCTACGTATTTATAACACATATCGTGCTGTGTTACATTTTAGAACTACAGAAAGTCGCAAAAATAACGTAGATCGGCTTGAAAATCGTAATTTTAGATGTATGGTAGATGTGGAACTCAGTGACGGAAACTTACGGTCTTAAGGACGACCAATAGAAATCCTACCGATCTTTATATATTTATATATATTTATCGAAATATTTGCAAATACAAATGAACGACGAGAAAAGACCTACACGTACTTACTCCGTTTGTACATAAAATACCAAGACCAAATATTGGAAGGATTTCGGCCACCCTCATAACGGGGACAGGTATGCCACATGGTAAAATGAACGTGTTGGCATGTGTTGGAACGAAAGTCAGATTGGAACCATCCTCGATACTCCAGGGATTACGCTCACTTTCGCTCTCTGCACCCCATGAATATGTCATTGCAAAATCGAAGGCTTCGTGTGTACCACCTTGTGGATGAGACGATAAGACATCAGAAGTGTCTCTCGGCCGTGTAACTGTTAAACTGACTGGATTTAAAGTCGGGTGTCACTCCTCTCTAACCATGAAAGAACTGGTAAACAACCTAGCGATTGGTCTTTTTTTCTACCCGAGACCAATCAAACAGCTTTCTTCGTGCCTTCAATTTTATTACGACATATTCCAGGGGTGCAGAAGGCTTTGAAAGTGAGTATCGAGGACAGATTGGAACATGAAATCTTACGAGATATGAATAACTACTTGTTAGTTTGGTATCATAAGTATACAATTGTTTCATGGCTATTTGGGGAACAGTCAAAACTATCATCCCGAGGTATTTTTGACTGTTTTAATAAAAATTCTCTGGAAAAGACTGAAAACCTAGCGGCCTCGGGCAAACAGTTCCCAGGGCTTCCCCCTCCCGAGGGATGATTTGTTTTGACTGTTCCCCAAATAGCATTGAAACAATTGTGTTATTACCAAATACATATTAGTATCAATGATGCATGCGATGCCATTGCTTCAGCACTGAGTCGCGCTCACCGAAACGCTTGAACGGGGGCTCTCGTGGGGGTATTTCTGCGCATCTAATTAGCGCCGGGTAACAGTTCACTCTGACCTGGAAAACAGGTTTGATTGTTTCACCCCTACAGCCGAAATTGGACAAAAGCCAAGAAACAGTCAAAAATTATTACCCAATAGACAATATTAATTATAATTAAAAGTCATTTTTGACTGTTTCTGGCTTTTTGTCCAATTTCGACTATAGGGGTGAAACAGTCAAAACTGTTTCCCGGTCAGAGTGAACTGTTACCCGACGCGAGTTCGATGCGCAGAAATCTCCCATTGAGAGCCCCGTTAAAGCGTTTATTTGACCTCAGCATTGATACTAAAATATCTATTTGGTAATAAAACAATAGTTTCAATGCTATTAGGGAAACAGTCAAAACTACCATCCCTCGGTAGGGGGAAGCCCTGTGGAACTGTTCGCCAGGGCTTCCCCCTACCTCGGAATGATAGTTTTGACTGTTCCCCAAATAGCCATGAAACAATTGTATATTACTAATTATAATATATATAGACTATTGGGTAATAATAAATACTGTTTCATAGCAGAAAACTGTAGTCAGTGTTTCATGCTTGTTGACAAATTTGTAATATTCATTCTAAATTTTCGAAATCTCGCAGATATCACGTTTTCAGCTCTAGTTTGTTACTAACATTTTGGTCTTAAATGTATGTGAATTAACCTGATCTTTGAATTGGGATACGTTTCATTTTCGGTTTTGTTGAATGAATCTAAATCTTTTTGGTTCATGGACACTTGAAAGAAAGTGTTTTTAAATAAATTTCACGACATACCTGCAGTTAAAGTAAACACGGGTTGACTGCAATGTTTTCGCTCGAACATCTAAAAGTAAACCTCCGTGCGAATATCAGTGTTTGACTGCAAAGCGCGTTATTAATTCAAATTTTTAAATATATAACCTTATAAGATTTATAAAGTCATAAAAAAACAAAAAACTTTTCTAACGTAATACACTTTCGACATGTCCTTTAACGCCACTATTTTGACGCCAAAATAAATGTACAAACTTGAAATAAAATCGTATTTGAATTTGGATCATTTAAATATTAGAAATGTACTTGATGCATGATGCTATAAAACTCTTTGTAGACATGACCTTGTCAGGTATTGTCAGAGCGGTTTCCTTACTCCTGATTGCGGTTCATTGATATTTAATTATATGTATTTATATTCAATGATAGTGTATGGCTATGCCTTTGTACTTAACCCGATGTGACTAACCTTGTTTGAAATGTATATCAAGGATAATTAAAAAGTTGAATTATTGAATCATCTTTATCGTACTTGTTAATGTAATGGTAGGTTGAAGTTTTAGAAACAAATACAGGTACATCATTATTAAGAAGATTTATTGTATTGTTATCATATGAGGTGAGATGATGTGCATATGCACTTCAAGGAGTCGAGGAAAATGCATATAAGCCAATATGAGACCAACAAATGTTTCACCACAAAGTGCAACTTCCCTTCCCATCCCCTGTCAACAATCGTCTCACAACATATACAAGTACGTCAAACACGAATTTTACTCTCTGATCCGAACACAACTCGCTACAGATATGTCACAACCTGACAATTTGTGTCTGGCTTAGGATCCAAACAGGTCTCATTACAAAAACATGTATGCCACAGCCAGACACAAATTATACTCTCTGATCCGAACACAACTCGCTACAGATATGTCACAACAAGACAATTTGTGCTTGACGTTGATCCAAAGAGGTATCTATTACGAATACGTAAGAGCCAGACGCAAATTATTCTCCCCGATTCAAACACAACGTCGCTACAAATACGCTCCAGCCAGAAAAACTGTACTCTCTGATCCAAACACAACGTCGCTACAAATACGTTCCATACAGAAAAACTGTACTCTCTGATCCAAACACAACGTCGCTACAAATACGTTCCAGCCAGAAAAACTATACCCTCTGATCCAAACACGTCTCATTACAAATACAGTATGTCAAAGCCACATCCAAATTTTACTCTCTGATCCAAACACAACTCGGTACAAATATTTCATCGCCAGATACACAAGTTGTACAAATACAAAGGCCACAGGAGGACAAACAGTGTGTATTGTACCATGCAGATCACAAATATGTCACTAAATATACGTCACAACCAATTTAAAGTTCTTAATCTCCTTGCAACACGGACACCCAATGCATTACAAATACGTAATAATTTTGTTTCGCGGACTATGGCTGAAGCCATTTCGATGTTGCAGTACGGAGTTATGTCCCTTCCCAACGTCTAATTTTACATCCGTGTCCGGCGTGACTCCATCGTTTGTAAACGTCACCTCGTCATTGATGTACGCTGCTAAAGAGCTGTTCGTTCTTAAACACATATTTCCATGTATACTGTAAATATCCTCATGCGTTGCTTCTCTCGACACATCTCCATTCTGATTGATATCATGTTTTGGGCGTTGATATAATTTTGAGAATCTAGTACGCATCTTAATATTCTTTTTACTTTTTGTGGGATCATTTGTGCTTTTGTATCTGCATTTGCCTATGCGGACACCGAGACTGTGACGTCGGCTCCTCTGCATCGCTTTGTTAATCTCAGTGTCTCCTTGATCACTTTCCCCGGGGGACGGGGCCGAGTCGATGTCTGGAGAATACACAATTTTCCTAGCCTTCTTGCTGTAGATGACTCCCCCAACGGCGTGCTCTACAATATCGGCCCCGAGTAACTCCTCCTTCAGAGGTACGCGGATACCAATCGCCAAGTCGATCAACTTCAGCCAGAAGAAGGCGTTCACGATCGTCCATACAATGATTACCAAGGCGGCGAGGGTCTGGATACCTAACTGGTAAAAATCACCTCCCTGAAAAAGATGTGCTCCCCTTCATCAACATGTGTACATATACATCTGGTATGGCTGTAGGCCAATAAATAAATGGTTATAGAAGATTAACTTTCGATCACGTAAACGGAGATTTCATTTTCATCAGCAATTCAATATCTGCTGAGAAGTATAATATATACGTGACTTGTAAAAGGACAAACAAAATGAAGCCAGACCTATCAATGACAATCTTTCCCTACCATCTGAGTAATTATAAGTGAAATACAGTTTTAATGAAGAGGCGGGGTCAGGTGCCCGGATACATATTTAATGAAGAGGCGGGGTCAGGTGCCCGGATACATACGTGGAATAATCCCTGCCGAACATTGTGCAGCTGCATGGCCTCCGAGAGATTATCAGGCTTCGTAACGAGGCCGGCCGATAAAAGGCTCCACACACCTGAGCACGCATGCGTACCTACACATCCTGTCAGGGAAATGCATGCAGAAATACTTGTGAAACCATTAACCTATAACTATTTATCAATTGCACAGATTTAGGCCACTCAACTCATTGGTCTGAAGAACTTCCTTACACATTGCTGTCGAAAAATACTACTTGTATCGGGAATGAAGAAGGAGTTAGCTCCCTTCGCAATGTAGTTTTTGGGCTTTATCAACAGAGTGCAACCGACCGGACTATGTACTTTAATGTTTTGATCAATTAAAAACTTGAGTAGGCACATATATAAGGACCAAACACGTATGATATTATATTTACTGGAGCATATCATTGAGAAATGTTAATGTTTAAATATTGAGGTATTCATTCCTGTCTTTTTACGATCTTGCGGTGAACAAAACTATCATTTTCAAGACATTTAATAATTGACCTACCGACGGGGTCGTCTATTTTGAGTTTGCTGATCAACTCCACACTGAGGTTAGTGATAAGTGCTCCGACAATTCCGATCAGTAGCCCCTCCCAGGGCTCAGCTATGGCGCAATTAGCTGTAACATAGACACACGGGTTATTGCTACAAATACATTCACGTTTGCCGTAACACAGGACCACGACAAGATCTGAAAAAATCATACTACATTTTTGGTTTCATCATGTGCTAGGTAAGCTTCAGAAGTATGTAATATCAGTTTATTGAAGAAAACTTATTTAAATGAAGATTCACTTCCCAAAAAATATCCTGGAGACATTACCCGTTTATGATAAAGCTATTAGAGCTGTGCTTCCACGCAATTAGTAAAATCTTTCAAAAAATCAAAAATCTCCAATTCAAATCTTTTGAATTCGTTGATATTACAGAATTACGTGTTGAGAGATCAGGTCATAGATCCAATCTATGCTACAAACCCGTTATCCCAACCAGTGAGCCCAGCACACCATTGATCATGTACGATATGTCAAACCGACGCTGCTTAATCACGTAACTGAAACAAAAGGAATTTTCTTTAATATGCAGTTGTGAAACAGAACCAACGATACAGTTTAAAACTGACCATTATACCTCGTTATCAATCTCACATTTCACTACTGACCCTAACCACATCATCGATCTCATGGTTCATTACTAACCGTTACACGTCACCAATCTCACAGATCATGTTATTTCACATTTTATTACAGACCCTTACCACGTCATCAAATCTCACATTTCAATACTGACACTTGCTACGTCATAAATCTCATAGTTCACTACTGACCCTTACCACGTCATCAATCTCACAGTTCAATACTGACGCTTACTACGTCATCATTTTCATAGTTCACTACTGACCCTTACTACGTCATCTATCTCACAGTTCAATACTGACGCTTACTACGTCATCATTTTCATAGTTCACTACTGACCCTTACTACGTCATCAAATCTCACATTTCAATACTGACGCTTGCTACGTCATCAATCTCATAGTTCACTACTGACCCTTACCACGTCATCAATCTCACAGTTCAATACTGACGCTTACTACGTCATCAATTTCATAGTTCACGACTGACCCTTACCACGCCATCAATCTCACAGTTCAATACTGACCCTTACCACGTCATCAAATCTCACAGTTCATTACTGACGCTTACCACGTCATCAACCTCATGATTCACTACTGTTGCTTATACTTTGGTATCAATGTTATATTTCTTAAATGACCATTACCTCGTCATCGATCTCATAATTCACTACTGACCATTATACCTTGGTATACATATTACAGTTCACAAATGACCATTACCTCGTCATCAAGTTATGCCCCTTACCTCATCATCAGCCCCATACTCCCTCCTGCTACAGACGCTGTGACGGTTGAAACTGCTGACCTGAAAAATGAGAAAGTACACAACCTTAATTTTCTCATGATAACTTGAAATATTTTGTGACCCTTAAAATAATGTCCACGTTGTTACTACATAAACGTATATGTGTACTAAATTCGAGTTGTCTTCAATCAGAACAAAGCTAGGAGTTACTCTTGACATGTGAGAATGTTTTAGAATTTCCTTTTCGTGCTCGGCTTAAAATTGCAGAAACACAGAAACACCGTTTCTTAGATGGTGAACGATTTATAACGAATTATCTAGCATGAAACAAGCTTGACTGTGTATTCGGGAGTTAGTACATTATTTGACCAGGGAGTTAATATATTATTTGACCAGGGAGTTAATAATTAATTTATCAGTGCGTTAATACATTAGTTGATCAGGGTGTTCATAATTAATGTATTAGAGAGTTAATGCAATAGTGGACAAGGGAGTTAATACATAAATTGATAAGGGAGTTAATATTGAAGTAGGTCAAGGAGTTAATACATCAGTTGATTTGGCAGTTAGTTCATTATATGATCAGGGAGTTAGTACATTAGATGTTCAGGGATTTAGGGTATAAATTGATCAGTGAGTCAATACATTAGTTGATTAGGGTGTTCATAATTAATGTATTAGAGAGTTAATGCAATAGTGGACAAGGGAGTTAATACATAAATTGATAAGGGAGTTAATATTGAAGTAGGTCAAGGAGTTAATACATCAGTTGATTTGGCAGTTAGTTCATTATATGATCAGGGAGTTAGTACATTAGATGTTCAGGGATTTAGGAGAGTCAATACATTAGTTGATTAGGGAGTACATGTAAGTACATTAGTAATAATCAATTTATCAGTAAGTTAATACATTAGTTGATTAGGGAGTAAGTTCATTAGTTGATCAGGGAGTTAGTAAATTAGTTGAACAGGGAGTTAATACATTAGTTGATCAGGAAGTTAATACATTAGTTGATCAGCGAGTTCATCATTATTGTACTGTATTAGAGAGTTAATACATAAGTTGATTAGGGAGTAAGTATATTATTTGATCATGGAGTTAATACATTAGTTGACTGGTGAGTTAGTTCATTAGTTGACCAGGGTGTTAGTATAATATTTGATCAGTAAGTTAATACATAAGTTGATCAGGGAGTTAGTACATTAGTTGACCAGGGAGTTAGTACATTAGTTGATCAAGGAGTTAGTACATTAGTGGACCAGGGAGTTACTACATAAGTTGATCAGGGAGTTAGTACATTAGTTGATCAGGGAGTGAATACATTAGTTGCTCTGGATTAATATATATAAGTAGGTCAGGGAGTTAATACATTAGTTGATGAGGGTGAGGGAGTTTATATATAAGTAGGTCAGGGAGTTAATACATTAGTTGATGAGGGAGTTTATATATAAGTAGGTCAGGGAGTTTATACATTAGTTGATGAGGGAGCAGGGAGTTAGTACATTAGTTGACCATGGAGTTAATACATTAGTTGACCAGGGAGCTAGTACATTAGTTGATCAGGGAGTTAATCCATTAGTTGACCAGGGAGTTAGTCCATTAGTTGACCAGGGAGTTAATACATAAGTTGACCAGGGAGTTAGTACATTAGCTGATCAGGGAGTGAATACATTAGTTGACCACCCAGTTAGTACATTAGTTGACCAGGGAGTTACTACATAAGTTGATATGGGAGTTAGTACATTAGTTGATCAGAGAGTGAATACATTAGTTGACCAGGGAGGTAGTACATTAGTTGATCAGGGAGTGAATCCATTAGTTGGCCAGGGAGTTAGTACATTAGTTGATCAGGGAGTTAATACATTAGTGGACCAGGGAGTAAGTACATAAGTTGATCAGGGAGTTTATATATAAGTTGCTCTGGATTAATATATATAAGTAGGTCAGGGAGTTAATACATTAGTTAATGAGGGAGTTTATATATAAGTACGTCAGGGAGTTAATACATTAGTTGATGAGGGAGTTTTTTTATAAGTAGGTAAGGGAGTTAATACATAAGTTGATGAGGGAGTTTATATATAAGTAGGTCAGGGAGTTAATACATTAGTTGATGAGGGAGTTTTTTTTATAAGTAGGTAAGGGAGTTAATACATAAGTTGATGAGGGAGTTTATTTATAAGTAGGTCAGGGAGTTAATACATTAGGTGATGAAGGAATTTATATATAAGTAGGTCAGGGAGTTAATCCATTAGTTGATGAAGGAATTTATATATAAGTAGGTCAGGGAGTTAATACATACGTTGATGAGGGGGTTTATATATAAGTAGGTCAGGGAGTTAATACATTAGTTGATGAAGGAATTTATATATAAGTAGGTCAGGGAGTGAATACATTAGTTGATGAAGGAATTTATATATAAGTAGGTCAGGGAGTTAATACATTAGGTGATGAAGGAATTTATATATAAGTAGGTCAGGGAGTTAATCCATTAGTTGATGAGGAGGAGGGAGTTTATATATAAGTAGGTCAGGGAGTTAATTCATTAGTTGATGAGGGAGTTTATATATAAGTAGGTCAGGGGGTTAATGCATTAGTTGATGAAGGAATTTATATATAAGTAGGTCAGGGAGTTAATACATTAGGTGATGAAGGAATTTATATATAAGTAGGTCAGGGAGTTAATCCATTAGTTGATGAAGGAATTTATATATAAGTAGGTCAGGGAGTTAATCCATTAGTTGATGAGGAGGAGGGAGTTTATATATAAGTAGGTCAGGGAGTTAATTCATTAGTTGATGAGGGAGTTTATATATAAGTAGGTCAGGGAGTTAATACATACGTTGATGAGGATGAGGGAGTTTATATATAAGTAGGTCAGGGAGGTAATACATAAGTTGATGAGGGAGTTTATATATAAGTAGGTCAGGGAGTTAATACATTAGTTGATGAAGTAATTTATATATAAGTAGGTCAGGGAGTTAATACATTAGTTGATGAGGGTGAGAGAGTTTATATATGAATAGGTCAGTGAGTTATTACATTAGTTGATGAGGGAGTTTATATATAAGTAGGTCAGGGAGTTAGTACATTATTTGATGAGGGAGTTTATATATAAGTAGGTCAGTGAGTTATTACATTAGTTGATGAGGGAGTTTATATATAAGTAGGTCAGGGAGTTAATACATTATTTGATGAGGGAGTTTATATATAAGTAGGTCAGTTAGTTATTACATTAGTTGATGAGGGAGTTTATATATAAGTAGGTCAGGGAGTTAGTACATTAGTTGATCAGGGAGTTAGTACATGAGTTGACCAGGGAGTTAGTACATTTGGAGACAGTGTATAACCCGTGTCAATTTCCTCCTTCAGCAGTTCATTTAAATAGTGTTCAATTTACAACCAATATCGCAATCGAAATTTACGCTGGAAAACGTTATAAATTGTGTTGTCATTTGACAAGTGCGTGATCTTTACATTGAATGATATTGTATATAACAGTTATCTAGTACCACACGTACACTATGCATGTCTACCTATTCTGTTCTTACCTTGCCGCCAACACCCATTTGACCCCAGATATACCAAACGTACTGCCACAGTTGAACCCGAGCCAGCCCCACCTAGAAAGACAGAAGTACCATCATTGCTTAGTACGCGTCGGGACTTGCATAATCCCCTAATGATGTATTTTATATTTAACATTAAGTTTATAACGATAAACCCTCCAAATTAGTAACTCCAAGCCAATGACCCTAGCTAGGGTGTGATCGCATGAATAAATTGTTTCAACCGAATTTTATTTAAATGCCAATATGATTATATGAATGAAAAATGCAAGTAGGGGTTAGAGATCTTCAAACATGCCATAATGCCACATCATTGTACACGGCTGCACCTGTTTAATTTGGTGGATTAATGTGCAGATTACATATGACGGCATAATTACTATATCAATTAGTCACCTGTAATACACAACGTACCAAAGCATAAACATCCCCAGGATTGCGTTAGTCGGAGATCCCATCACGGTCACCTTTTCGGGTGTGACGAACCTATTGTGACGCGGCTTTAGCATCATTGTCGCCACGAGACCGGTAACCCCGCCCACAATGTGAACAGGTCCCGCCCCTGCAATGTCGACCACGCCCATGTTCCGGAGCCAGCCGTTAGAGGCCCATACCCAGTGGGCGGGTAAACAGAAAATGAAGGTGTTGACCATTGAGAAAACTATATACGCCTCCAGTTTGGTCCGTTCAGCCATCGACCCTGAAACATTTAAACTCGCCTACATAAAACAAGTGTGAAACGATCGTGTTGTAGATGTTCATACAGCCTACGATCTAAAGACTAAGTCGAATCCTTATACATATGTACCTCACAAAATGAGCTCATGGTCTACTAACTATGATTGGCTGAATCTTATTCTTCCATGCACGATATAGCCCACCTTAACAGCAGTGAGCTAGCATTGACACAATTACAAAATGACTAATTTTTAAACAGTAAGCTTTCATTTATAAAATGGCGAGCCAACATGCATAAAGGAGAAGACCGACACGAAAAAGACCTTTTTGTGATGAACAAGGAAAGGGACAACACAAAGTATGCAATTATTTCATACGAACAGACCTGACAACCTTTGTAGGAATAGACTTACCCGACACGATGGTTGTGGCCGTGGTGGCAAATGAGGCTTGAAAGAAGAACTTCGAATACACCCAGCCGATATTATCCTCATTGGCATTCACGAAGAAATGGCCCCATCCACAGAAAGCATTGCCATCCTCGCCAAACGCAAACGCGTATCCGAACGCCCAGAACGTGAGGCCCCCGAATATTACGTCAACGGCGTTCTTCACCATGATGTTTGCTTCGTTCTTCACCGATACAGACCCACTCTCCAGCAGTCCGAAACCTTAAGGAAGCGATTATATAATTATCAATTATATACATTTGTTGAGGTGAATATGTGGTAATATGAACCCGAGAAAGTGAAATTTCGTTTCGGTTAATATCGCTTTCTCAGCTACGAAAAAAACCCCATATTCACCGAGATAAAAGTCCTTTATTGTTGAATTTAGATATCGAATTGTGGTTTATAAATCATTAAACGAGATGGAACGTACGAATATCAAAGAAAATGTGCTCTAGGCACACAGCTTTGTGACGTAACAGTTATCGTAACGATATAAAAAGGATATTGGCCCGTTGCTTCAAAAAAATAGTTTCACTGAGTAAATATTATGAGTCACCAACCTTCACGTCATCATGATTCAACCCATGACAACAAAGGGAAAGTGTGTCATCTAATATTACCATGTAAGAGTTGATTCAATGTCATGCCTGATGATTGGATACGAATACGGGGCGATACGACGTCATCTTTTGGGTATTTATATGGTCGATATTTGGTTTGTTTCAGTGAGGTAGCACTATAAAGTCGGCTATCACAAGGAGACAAACACGAACATATCGCAGCCTCCCAAAAAACACACGCATACACTACACGCATGCATCTTGCACACAGGGGAGGCCGTCCTTAAATGACCATAGCTGTTGAAAGGCTGAACCAAACCAAACCAATCATAGGGTGGTGGTGTTGGTAAAACAAGATGGCGGCATTTAAGGATTGAATTCTGTTTTGTTGAGGTTTATGGGGTATAAACCTCAATGGGTCTTGAGACAAATTTTATGAACTGCGAAGCAGTTCATTTTGAATTTGTCTCAAGACCAATTGAGGTTTATACCTCATAAACGTCAACAAAATGGGATTCTATCCTTATATTTACATTCAGAGCGATGATATTTGTTCGGATAATTTCTAAAATATCGGTCTTGTGCAAGTCTAACCCCACGGAAGGTATTAAAACGTATGACGTCATCACTCACTGTGAGACGATGAATAAGCAAATTAAGATGTAAATTATTATTTGAATTCAATTGAATACTTCTGACAAAAAAAATATAAATTGAAAACAATCTATGAGTGGAACTATTTCCCGCGCTCCGCGAAGTAACAGAGTAATCAGGTTGATAATATGCTGATGTATTCCTACGCCAACCGAAAAGTTCATTGAAAAATAACCTTTAAAATGTTAAGTAGTATATTGAGTCCAAGTTCAGTAGAAATGTAAATATTAAGTAATGAACGACGTCATTTGCCGGCTTATATTACAACTGTACTGTTAACTAAACGACGATTAAAAACTTACAGACACAAACACTACGAACTCTCGCCCTTACATTTAATGCCTCCCACAATCAAAGGTAATTTCTTACTTTGGAAACATTCGGGCAAGTATTCATAGATCTGTTCTTATTCTCAAGCATTGATTTTGTGCTCAAGCTTTCTTGTTACTTGCTCAAATCATATGACACAATCAATAGGCTTTGTGTTTTCAGAGATAACGGTATTCGGTTTTAAGTCTCTCCAAACTTATTTCATTTTAATGGGAAAAAATGATATTTCATGATTTATCTCAAGAACAAGAAATTGGGCTTGAGTACAGAATTGGAGTTTGAGCGTGATAACGGGCCCTAACGGAGGAAGAAAAAGTAAGTTCTTCAAGAGATTTTTGGCGAACGTCTTTTCGCATGGTAACGCCGACGTCAGAGTTCATAGTTTTGTGAAATTGCAAATGTCGGACGTTGTGCGGGTTAATAGAACGAGAGCAATTTTATCTATGTTTAATGGACTAATAAAAGTTTCGAATCAGCTCTTTAACACTATGTTATTTTAGATGATCTTATTTTCGAATCTGACCAATCAACAGTGTCTTTGCTTACGAGGAACAGCCACCATGGTAACATAGGCGTCATGTATCTAATGCCGAATCTTTGTCACCAGTCAGAGAGACAAAGAGATACTTCTCTGAACGGCCAACGCGTGGTATTGATGAAGAGCCCCATGTATTCCTGGCAAATCAGACGTATTTCCCGGAGACTGTACGCTGTCACCGGAAGCGTACACGGACATCGCTTTTAAAACAAGTGATCTACTGCACTAGAAATTCTCCCTACAGCTACCTATTCTGCCTTGTGCAAGCCCCCGGTACAAATCGAAAACAACGTAGATGCACAGGGGTTCGTTACAAATGTCTGAAATACACATTTCATGCTATAACTGATATGGGTCACAGCACACATAAACACACATATAAATGTATGTTTTTGTGTGCTGTGACACATTTCAGTATAGCATATGTGTATAAATGTATGTTTATGTGTGTCGTGACCCGTATCTGATCAGTATAGCATTTCAGACATTTGTACCGAACCCCTGTGGTAGATCCATGTGGTCCCGTCTTAGTTGAAATACAGTCGAACAGCCATGTCATATAAAATGTTTCGTCCATTCAAGCTACGTTTGGTTTCCTGTCTAAATCGACATTCAGTTACTGCAGCTTCACATTCCAGAAGATGAAGAACCTCAAAATTTAGCGGCTCTCCACTTCGAGCTAGTAAAACGATGGCTGCCGTAGACTCGCAGCTGAGCCTGTGCACCGCGTCTAGACATTGTTCTTCCGCGATGAAGCATCAGAAAAATTGATATCCTATGAATTTATCAACAAAAATTAAATATGACACTTAAAATATGGTTTTGTGTTTTGTTTCTACTTAATTTGGCGTATCAACGTACACCATCATATTGTATGATGATCTTTCAATGACGGACTATATTTTTTTTACATTACGTCAATACGTAGACCTGCACAAGCTCCAGAACCTCGGACAAACGATCAGAATGGACTCCTCAATTTCCAATTATTGGGGGGAAAAAACACGTTGATTGAAATATAAGGATTGAATTTTGCTTTGGTCGATTTCATGGGGTGATGAATTGAGTTGGTCTTGAAACAAATTTAATGAACTGTTTTATTAAATTTGTTTCAAGACCAACTCAATTCATCACCCCATGAAATCGACCAAAGCAAGATTAAAGAGACATGCCAGAGGAAGACATCAAAAGATACTTATAGGCATTGAAGTACCGTTGAACCAGATTCTTAGTAATAATTGTGCGAGTGTTTAGATTCCTTGTTAGTTAGTCGTTAGGTTACTAACGTCGTAATACACGTAATGTAGGTGACGTCGTCTTAGGTAGTCCTTAAGGTTAATGACGTCATCATAGATACGCCGTCAGAGAGATGTTGTAGTTAATGACGTTGGGTGATAACGTCGTCTAGATAAGACGTATCACGGGATCGGAAACTGAAATATGTTCAAACGTCAAAAGAAAAATGACATCACAGCAGAACGGTACTTAGACGGCATATCGTTATCACGTGATGTTTCGTTCATTGTCTTAACTATTTAACGGCGTAAGTTACGAGTACATAAGTGCAGTGTATAGTTTGCAATATTTGTTTTCAAACTTAGCCGTACCTGTTCAATTTCCTACATGTACATACTGGTAAACTGCATCAAGATAGGGGGAACATTCGTCCTCCCCACGGAATTGTAAATTGTCTTTTTAATCTTCCTAAAAATAGTTACAGGTGTGATCAGTCCATGACAACAACAACTGCTGATAACTCCGATCCATATGTTTGCTAATTGCTATCGATGACGTCATGAAACGCAACAGGTAAAGTCAGATTCATTTAAACAGACTTAAAAGCAAACAAGCACTACAGATTAAATATCATTAATGAATATCTAAGTGATTTTTGTTGAACGATTTGAACTTATTTCACAGATGCGACGATTGAATTTTTATTTCATTGATCAAGGATATTTATTTAAACAAACTTGATAAAATCTTACGATACGTACAACATGTAAATACATAGCATCAGCCACTAAATCAGGTTAATACATTTTTTATGTGAAACTGGTACTTCCTGGAAAAGCGTAGTTTTTAAACTGTAAAACCCTTTATTCATCGGTCTTGTCAATTCGTCCCGGCGCACCAGACGGATTATTGACGCAATTCTAATCGAAAGTACAAAGCTTTTTGATTGGAAACGGTTTCAATAGCTGATCATACAGAGAGTGATATTGTCCAAAATATTTTGCAGAATAAGATTAGAATGTTTAATTAGCGTTATCGCTCTACATCCGGCATATTCTGTAGCCTGCTGTTAACATCTAACGATGCAGGCTTGTGTCACGAAGAATGCTCATGAAAATGGAATGCAAAACACTTAAAAAATAACATATCAGCCAGTTTTGTGTGTAGAATATTACCTGAAGACGGGAGACTTTGACGTATCGAACCTTCACATTCATTTATAAAAGAAAATTGCTAAATGGATTAACTTGAAAAAAACCTCAACAGAAAAATAAAAAAATATATACCACCAATATCACCCTCGCTTGTATATAGCATGGTTTCAGAAAAACAATTGCTTTATTAAAGAGACCATACTTTCTCTTACCCTGTACAGGTGTATCCGCACTTTTACCGGTGTGAGAATTCCTTGTCTCACCCTAGGGTTGAGACGGGGGATTCCCCTATTCATAACAATGGCATGACGTCACTTCAACAATACAATGACGTCACGTCAACAATTAATCAACGTCACGTCAACCGTGAATTTAGCATGTAACGTTATCATTACATTGTGTATATGATACACAATTTGAGAACAGGGTAAGAGAAAAAATATCATTCACCCACTTGTGGGTGAGATAGGGGAATCTCAACCCTCGGGGAAAGATTCTTAAGTTGCCAAACACTCGACAAAGCCTCGTGGTTGGCAACTTTATAATCTTCCCCCTCGGGTTGAGATTCTCCTATCTGAATAGAATGTGTCACCGATAATTGTGACGTCATCAAAAGTGAATTACGATATGCATACCCCACATGTGTTTTGTTTATAAACATGACAGACTACTGTCGGTGGAGCTGTGACTGAAGTAATTATTCTCCCATCCTTCACAGGTGTGTCTCCCGTTTTAGCCAGGAAAGAT